AAAAAAAAAAAAAAAAAAACCAGGAAAATATGACCTACAGTCAAAAGAAAAAGCAATCAAAGAAAACCAACTCCACGATGGCTGATGGCCCATATTTAAAAAAAGATAGTAATGGGCACACATGGAATCTCAATGGAGAAATGGAAACTATAAAAAAGGAGCTATAAAAACTAAAAAATTCCTAAAATGGAGATGTATAGAAGTGAAAAGTATGAAATGAAGAATTTACCAGATGGGCTTAATAACACACTGCATGTGATAAAACAAAGGTTCAGTGAACATGGAGATAAATCTATAAAAATGATTGAATCTAAAGAACATAAGAGAAAAAAAGATTACAGGTAAAAAACAGAGCTTCAGTAACATATGGGAAGTGTCCTAACATACATATAATTGGAGTCCCAGGAAGGTTACTCTTGTTACCTCTTTTTGTTATAAGGGTCTGATCCTCTGTACGAAGAGGGTTGCTCTTTTCCCACTGTATATATTTCTTCCACATATCTACTTGCTGAGCTTCTTGAGGAGTATTCTGAGGAGGCACTGAAGGAGCATTGCGGTCTAAACCTTTCATTACTGTCTCATATTCCTAGACAACAAGAATTTAGAATTCTTTGGTGAGCCTGGAACAACTTAGATATACAGGATGAAGTTGATTGGTTAGGAATACTTCATTCAAAATGCCTAATTTTTCCAAATATCACTTTGTTAATATAATCTAAACTATTTAAGAGTAGAGAGAAAGATAACAGAATTATTACCCATTCAAGAACAGGTTCCCAGGAACTGGGTAAACAGAACACTCATGGGTCCTCTCTACAGGTGATCTAGGAGGTCACTCCCAGGATGTAGGAGTTGACAGATCAACATGACTAAAGATCTGGTGGCATTATTATTGCCATCTTGGGAGAAACTGTCTTTTTATATTTCAATAGTTTTGTATTAATAGGCTATTTTTCCTAACTTCCAAGAGTGTCAATAAATGGAAAGATATGCAACACAATACAAAATCTGTCCCTGAGAGCTATGTTATTAGATCACAGAGTAGTATAGTATTCAGATGGACAGATATGAGGGAAGGATAAGAATTACTTCAATTCTAGGTAGAATCTTGTCTCTACATCCTCTGTTTCCACATTTTAAAAAATAATTTCTTCCAAACCTGATTTATTTTATTTTGTCCTTGCAAAGAGATGTTTGATTTCAAATGTACCATCTGCTCAGACATTGCAATTAACCGTTGTTAGTTAAGATTGCTAATGATTGAAAATAGCGAAAGTTATATCA